AATTCTGTGAAAAAACAGCCACTAACAATATTTTCCAGTTCTTGTCTTGTATAACAGCAAAGATCCTGGTATTTTATGAAGGAATCAGCTGAAGTTTCATTAACAAGGTGATCTGAACTCAATCAATACACATAACAGATCCAAAGAATTGAGCCATGACATTAAAGCTTGAATTCTTCGTGGAATAGATTCCTGGAATGGCTCAGACTGTCAGGGATCTTAAAGCTCATCTTGTTCCACCCCCTCCTAATTCAATGTCTATTTCCATATTCAGCTGATGAGGAAAAGAAAATAAAGGACCCACAGTTACAACATTACAGATCATGGAATTATTAAGCTTGGAAAAGCCCTGGGAGACCATCGAGTCCAATTGTTCCCAAGCACTGCCAAAGCCACCATTAAATCGTGTCCCCAAGAGCCACATCCACACAGCTTTTAAATCCCTCCAGGGATGGGGACTCCACCCCTGCCCTGGGCAGCTGTGCCAGGGCTGGACAACACTGGGAAGGAATTTTCCCAGTATCCAACCTGAACCTCCCCTGGTGTGACTTGAGGCAGTTTCCCCCTGTCCCTTGTTCCCTGGGAGCAGAGCCTGACTCCTACCTGGCTCCACCCTCCTGTCAAGGAATTGCAGAGAGCCAGAAGGTCCCCCCTGAGCCTCCTTTTCCCAAGGCTGAGCCCCCCCCAGCTCCTTCAGCCACTCCTGGTGCTCCAGACCCTTCCCCAGCCCCATTACAAGACAAGCAGCAAATAAAACATTTTCTGTACTTTCAGAGTGCATTTCAAAGTCCTGTGGATATTGAAAACAAAAAGAAAGAAACCCAGCAAAGAAACCCAAGGAAGACCCGAAAAGAAACCCAACAGGAAGAGCTGTTGGAAGAAGCCTCTCTGCAGCCATCTCTGCCCCACTCCAGGCCAGAAAGAATTTCCAGGGTATGTGGGAAGGCACCTGGTGCAGAAACAGGGATCAGGGCTGAGCCCCTCACCGGTCCCTCCTGCTCCCAGTGCTGAGGAGTAGGTTGGTCCCCACTGAGGCAGCAGCCCCTCAGCTGGTGTTTTCATGCCCACCCAGCTGGAGCAGAGGGATGACAAGCTGTTCAAGCAAACAGCAGCAGGTCTCTTTTGACATTAGGCAGCCACAAGACTAAATAATCCTTTCAGTGCCAGGCTCTTCCAGCCCAGCTCTTTAATCATCAGCTGAAGCTTGAAATAAGTCTCTGAGTGCTTCCTTCCAGCCTGCACTGGGTCTCCTGCCCACCTGTGCATGTGCCTTGCCAGCTTGGATTTGGGAGAACTAACAGGGACTCTGGTCCTTGGTTTTCCAACCCTGTCCATTCATTGAATTACAGAATCCCAAACTGGTTTGAGTTGGAAAGGACCTTAAAGCTCATCAGTTCCACCCCCGTTCCCTGGGCAGGGACACTTTCCACTAGCCCAGGTCGTTCCTTCTCCTTTGCCAAGTGGCACAGCTGGTGCCATATGGAAATGAGTTCCTCTGCTGAGAAACAGCTTTGTAGAAGTAGCACAAGGCCATTCTGTGCTTGTTACCTGTCCTTAATGCTCCTCTCAGCTTTGAAGGCACAAATGGGTGCTTTTGAAGTAATTTTCAGTGATAGCAAATGAGCTTCATTTGCATCCATAAAGGGCCCATCCAGGACTATGGAAAGAGGGGGCTGCACATCACTGGCATTGAGAAAGGCCAGACAAGACCCTCTAATTAGATCTGAACGGCAGAGGTGGGCACTGTCATGACCTTTACCACACAGAGGCCCCACACAGCCCAGAGACCTCGCTGGCTATGGCTTTCCATCCACGTTCAAAGCCCCCCCAGGATCTCCTTTCCTCCATCTCTCTTCATTTGTTTTTCCATTCATTCCCTCCCAGCAGGACGCTGCATTATTTCAGAAGCCATCAAGACTGATTTTCAGCTCTCCTAGGGAGAGTCTCTCAGTGCCTGGCCTGCTTTGCTGATGACAGCTCTTGCATAAGCAGCTCCTGATGGGTAGTAATTAATTAGAGTCTCACACAGACAATTCCCTTTTCTTTTGTTTGGGATCATTAGTGAACAGAATGGCACCTGCCAAAACCTCCCGGTTTTCCATCCGCAAGGATTCTGCGTCTTTCCAGTTTGGCTCTTCTTGAAAGGCAGCTATTTTTTGGTCCTTTTGGTGTTGCTGGGGCTGGGTGCCAGCACTGCAGAGCTCTGCTGTGAGAGCCACAGCGCTGCCACCACGTCCTTGTCAACTGCAGCATCTGGGCTCTGGGTCAGCACTGAAACCCCCGAGTTTGATTGCGGCACGTTGGAAAAATCTGGATGCACGCCACGGCCTATGGACTTAATTCAAACCTTGATAAAAGTAACTCCTATTGCTTTCCCAGCAGAAGGAGGACTGGAAGAATGGGATCCTTCCTCTTGCAGAAATTCCCACCAGAAACCTGCATTTTAATTATCTTTTCTGCAACAGAGAACACATAATGTGGAACATCCACAGCAAAATCACAGTTTGGGTAATGACTCGAAGGATGTATCACTCACTTCTGTGCTTTAAAATTATGGAATCCTGGGTTGCAAAGGACCTTAAAGGTCATCTAGTTCCAAGTCCTGACATAAAAGCAGTTTTGTGTTATTATCATAAAACTCTGACTAAGGGGGCACACTGAGAGTTAATGGAGAGCAACAGCGAGTGAGTCCCTGTGTCCCAGAGAGATGCAGGGATACCTTGTCAGTGATAGTGGTATTTTACTGCAGTAAAACTAAAATAAAGTGGGATAATAAAAGCAACTGTTTTGTATAGTACCATATTACTTAAATAATATTTGAGTATTATAATATTTGCATATATGTATTCAAATAACTATAAAAACTCCCTCCAGAAGTGCATCATACTGAAGTATTTATTATAGGTAACCTTAGCAGTCTCCAAAAATCAGTACTCCTCCCCCAGCACACCAATTTTTGGGTTAGATTGGGGATTTTTATAGAAGGACACACAAAAGGAGTGTGTCCTGTTCCTGCCTCCCCATCCCCAGCTATCCATTGGCTTCCCAGTTCCAAGCAGGTTCTCCAGGAGCTGATCAGGGTGAGCCCAGCAGTGGGTGATGCAGGGGGGGAGGCAGGTGAAGATTTCAGGCCTTGCCCATGGAGGCCTCATGGAGATGGTGGCTATAAAAAAAATACCTAAAGGGGTAATTTTGTTGCTTCTGTGTTTATTTAGAGACCAAAAATACCCCCACCAGCCTACACCAACACACCTGTGTATCCCTTGGAAAACCCCCCAACTTTCCATGTGTTCACTGCTCACCTCCATTGGTGTCTCTCTCCCCATCCAGTGTCCAGCTGCAAAGCCCAGTTGCATCACAGGATTTTCCTCAGGTGTCCCAAAATAAGTGATCCATTGATCCTTCACACTTCCCAGGGCAGGGGTGGCCATGCCTGGCCTGTCCCCTGGGCTCTGAACTGCCTGCAGGGAAGATTAAGGGTGGGGACATGGGGGGTCCTTCCCCCTGAGCAGGGAAGGGGAGGTTGGGACAACCCATCCCGAGGGACTTTGTGGCTTTTCAGGGCGCTCAAAGGCTTCATGTTGCCATTTCAGTCGCAGATCATCCTGAACTGTGACTGTGGGGAGCAGGAGCTGCTCACAGCGATGCCTCAGCTCTCTCCAAATAACAGGGACACCTTGCAGTGTCTCAGCACAGAAAGATCCTGCTCAAATTCACGTGGGAAATGCCAAGCCCGGAGCAGACTCCAAGCAGTTCGTGCTGTGCCAGCAGCACCAATGGAGGAGGATTCGGGCAGGAAATCTGCTCTTCCATCAGTTACTGCTACACCTGCCCACATGGACACAGCAGGACCAGGTGTGTGAGCACCAAATGAGCCAGATCAGAGAATCCCAGAGTCATTCAGGTTGGAAAAGACCCTTAAGATCATCCAGCCAAGCAAAAGCAGGGACACCTGCCCCTGATCCTCTGAGCTCTCCCTGTGCCCAGCTGCACAGTGTGGGGCACTGCAGGACAACAGGATCTCACACTTCCAGAGCGAGCTGAGAGAAATGTGTATCAGGCAGCAACTCTGGGCTCCTCAGGTCCAGCCCTGCAAAGTGACACTCTAAGGATTTTCCCAAATTAAAAAAAAAACATGTCGATGAGTGAGTTTTCCAGTGGGAAACCCTGGGGCAGGACTGGCTCCCAGACCAGGTGATGGCTCGCTGTGACAGGCAAACACCTGCTCGCCAGTGACAGCCACTGACAGAGGAGACCCCATCAGACCAGGGGTGAAGATGAAGGGCATCAATTGAAACCCACTTTGTCCCCAGCAACCCTGCTCCTCTGATGCAGATCCCAGCATGACCCTCTTCCCTACTTTCTCCCTGTGTCTTGGCAGGGACTTCCCAGGTCTCCTGCCAAGAGAGGCAGCAAGCACTGACTCCTGGCTCTGTTCCACTCCAGTTTCAAGGACAGCTCCTGCTACAAAACTCCTTCCAGCTCCTTCCTCTGTCCCTTAGGCCCCACGGACAGTTGTTTTGAAATGAGTAGGAGCTCCTATTCTGATTACAACAAAAATCACCTTACCTTCCAAAGCCACCTTTGCCCGGGCACTGCACCTTCCCATCTCTGTCCCTACCACGATATTTTGCTCCTGCCTCAAACACGTGTAGTGGCTGCACTGTGGCAGAAGGAGCTGGCTGGAAACACAGAATAAACCCCTGTGACCCACCACAGCACGGGAAGGCCTCAGCTGTGTTACACAAATAAACTGACCTGGAGCTGAGGTGGAAAATAACAAGATAACTTGTCCCAGCTCCTCATTTCCTCTCCCAAAGGTGGCTGCTGTCTGCAGGAGCGGCCGGAGCTGAAGCCGTAACCGGAGCCAGGGCAAGGCAGACGCAGCAGATGGTGGGTTCAGAATATGCAGATTTTGGCTTTATGTGAGAGCAGAGAGAGGTGAAGAGAGGGATCGAATGTCCATTTGATCCGGATGAAAATGCCAGACTGAGAAGCAGTTTCAGGAATTATTTATTGGATAAACTGGTACAGCTGTGACCTCAGCTGTGGGTCGGGACCTGGGTTCACCTGCACGACCAGGAACCTCAGGAAGGGATTCTGTCACTGGGTTCTACAGTAATTACACCGAAAATCTCTTTTTGCTGAAGCAGAAGAGACCAGCTCACATTTGCTGTATTTCCTACCTCCACAGCAGGACTTTTGTAGAGCAGATGAATTTGTTTTCCTAAGGAGCAACACTTGGTCTGGCCATTTGGAAACACCATGGGATGGCAGTGCGAGGACAGGCTGGACTCCCAGAAGTGCTGCCACCACCATCCATCGAGGGAAGACCCTGTGCACTTCTCCTAACACAGCAATTCCTGAGCACAGCTGCAGGCACAGTCCTGCATGACAGGGACAGAAGATTAACTCCTGCATTTTCCCATGTTCCCAGGAAAGCCTTCCCTGGTTCCCTCAGCTGATCTTTCCCATGGTTAATGCTACTCCTGTCCTTACAGAGTTACTGGGTAAGGACTGTGTGCTCTAAAATCAATGTGAGCTTTTCATGTCTTGAGAAAGATGATCTTCACACACAACTAAATTAATTTTCTGGACACTCACCTCCCCATCTTCACACTCCAGGGGATGTTGGATCTGATGGACAAACCACCTGGAGAGGCAGAACCCAACAGCCGAGCCTATTCCCGGGACCTTGGAGTTGTGCCATATCAAGTTCCCATGCCAGCAGGAGGGAATTCCTTCTCTCAGATAAATCCTAAGCCAGCATTCCCCTGGGTGCTCATCACAGCTTTACCCCTGGAATGCTGCAGGAACCTGCAGGTTTGTCCCACAGCCTCCAATCATAGCGACAGCAAGTTTTGGGGTCCCCAACACAAAACATCTTTTAATCCCTTACCACACACAATATTTTTGAAACCAAAACATCAGATCTGTATCACAGTCAACATCAGAAATGAAGCAGCCCACAAGAGCCAGGTCAGCAGCTTGTCCAAAAAAACAGCAGTTGGGTTTTGTGTGAAGCTGGGCTTAAATTCACACTTGCTTTGGTTTTCACTGTTGTTGCTTGGTTTTGCCTCTGTTAAGTTTTACAGAGATTTAGCTTTGGAATACACAATAAATTCATCCTTCTTAGCTCCTCAAAATAGTTCTCTGAAAAGGCACATGTACAAAAATATTTACCAACTATGAAGTAAAAAAACACCCAGATTTGGCTTGCAAATAGGTGTGGGCTTTTTTACCTGTCTATCCCAGAAAATACAGCCAGGATGCAAGACCTGATTTCCCTCCCACCTGGAGCTTTCCCACTGAGTGGAGTAGGGCCATGGAGGCAAACTGACTTCTCCAAGTCTATACAGACAGGTTAGCTCACACAAGATCAAAAATACAGGTTCCTTGGATCAAATTCCTGTCTTTTCCACTGCAGACTCTTAGGAAAGCAGTCAGGAGGGATGTCGGTTTTATGGTAGTACCATTTGTACTGGAATCTTGTGTTCAACAACAAAAGTGTGGATGTTTAACTTCCAAACATCAGTTTATCCAGGTAACACCCACAATTAATGGAAACTCAAGAATTTTTATTCTCTTCCTCTTCTTGAGGCTTCCCTGAGCCTTTCACTGCTTGACCCCTTCCGTCCAAACACATCCAGCTCAACTCAGCCCGTAGCATTCAGTGTCACAAATCATTCCCAGTGAAATGACACATTCAAGCTCTCCCCCCCACAAACCACCTCCTATATAAATATTTCAGTCTACATATCAGGTCACTCCTTGCTCCCTCATCCTCAGGCTCCCCAGGTGAACCCTAAAACCAGAACATGCTCTTTGAATGCAGTTTGAGGAGACACTTCACTCCTGAACAGAGAGAAGATGTGTGTGTGGGTCTGTGCTGCCAACACACGTGCTCTTCCCAGGGGAAAACTGTTGGACAACAAGAAATGGAGGGAAGCCCAAGGCTACAGAACCGGATGGAACCCACACCAGGACAAAGGGACAGTCAGTGACTGCACAAGAAAGGCACTGGGTTCATTTGGTGGATGGTGTTGAATCCTTCTGAACCCCTGGTGGGTGTATGAGAGTTTCCCAAAGCCTCTCACTCCACTGTCTACAGCACCCAATCCGATTTCAAGTCCAATTCTTCACTGGAGTTCTCAGACCTAACACCTCTAACAGGCACCACCAATAGGTAACCTGGTACCTGAAGTAACTTGGACAATCAGATCTCTAAGGAAAGGCCTCACATTTGAAAATTAGCTCAAGGGATGGAATTTTATCCTCCTAAAATCCTGGCACTTAAACACAGAACCCAGCTCCAAGAGAGCTCCTGGAGGGAGTCAGGAGAGGGAAAAACAGGGGAATGCATCAACACCTAAAAAACCACCAGGAGTCTCAAATTATGGTGCGATGACAGCAGAGTTTTTCTCTGTGGCCTCCTTTCCCTTGGCAGCAGCCATCCCAAACTGTGGCACATATGGCACCAGGGCTTTGGGCTTGAGGCTACTTTGGACAAACCCACGGACATCCGTCGGTGTGTGCTGGAGATCCCCCGTGTCTGTGAGCAGATCCCTTGCATGGAACTGACACAGCACCCCAGAACTTTCTGTTAGAAAAATATCATTTTCTCTTTTTTCCAATGGAGTTATCCCAAGGTAACACAGGCTCCGCTCAGGACTGTCCATGAAAGCATCGTCGTGGTCGGAAGGCTCTGAAAACCCCTCTGAAGAGATAAGGGAGAGGGTCTTGCTGGGCTGCCTGCCAGGTGAGCCAGGGAACACCAGAAACACCCCACTTCCCACCTCCCAAGTGCTACCGGAGAAGGCACCTGAAACTGTGGAATCTTCTGCTAAGAAGCGCCGATCAAAACAACTGCTTGGACTCATTTTCCGCTCGCAAAGCCCATCGGATCGGGAGTTGCCGATGACAGTCGCGTATTTGAGGTCGATTCCTCCACATCCCTGCTCCTCCTGGGAGCTCTGGGAGGAACTGCTGCTGTTGAAGTGGCTGCTCGAGCAAGCAGAGTCACGTTCAGAGTCTTGGGCGTTTGGAAACATGGAAGCAATTCCTAAAAAATCTTGTGTGTCTTCTTTTTCTGGAGCTTTGGTGACACTGATGTCTTCCAGCACTATCTCTGCATCCAGGAGAGGCTCAAATGATGTGGCTTCGGGGTGCTTGGTAAAAAGATGCTCAAAAGTTTCAGGCTGGAAGAAAAGAGATATTTTAATGCTCATCTCTTGCTTAAAAGCTTTACTGCAGTAGCAAGATACTGGTTTTATGGATCACAGAACCAAACACCCGAGTGCATTCCCAGGGCACTCTCAGGACCTTGGAGTTTTGCCACATCAAGTTTCCACATTGTTTTTCAAGAGTATATAGTTGAAAATCCTCTATAATGTATTTCCTCAATAGATTTAATCATTTATGTGTCAGCTGAAGTAACTTTCCCTGCTAGGATTGTATTATACAGGGTCAAATTCAGCCTGTCTGCCTTTCTGGAACATCTCCATCTAAGCAGCAGGTCTATGTTCTGGGTGAAGAGAAACACCTTTTCTTGGGAGAAATATAGGATTTATTACTACCTAATATAGGTGTGTGTAAAATATGCAGCAGGATGAACTGACAGCAACACCAGCACTCGGAGAGCTACAAAGGAAAACTCATTTGAAAAACAAGTACTTCCTAATGAATTCAGGACAAAACAGACTAAACCCAGGTTTTATGTAATCAACAAACCATGCTTTACAGCAGGGAAGCTGCCAAAACAATGAGGAACTGGTCAAAATACTCAGAGGAGTGTGGAATTATAGCAAAGAGTGTACAACTCGTGCATCTTGGCCTTCTGCTCCCTCCAAACTTGCTATCGGTGTTGCCTCGGCCCTCGCGTGACAGGACCGATTTCTGGGTGACTTCAGCACTAGTCCCACATAAGTTCATCACCAAAATTAACAGGAAGCTTTTGAACAACCAAAAAACCTTGTCTCCCCCTCATACACCTGCTCTCCTAAGGTAGGTGGTTTATCCTGAACACAGGTGTTTATATCCCTGCCCTCATCCCAGCCCCCGGAATCTGCTCTCTGGGCACCACAGCAAACACAGATAGAGTTGCCCACAGGGATTAAACCCATCCCATCCAAGGACCAGGGGTTTTGTGTGGCAAAGGCCACCATCTGTCAGCTCTGACGCATCACTCATTAAAGCCTGTCAGACATTTATCAAATACAATGCATAATCCAGTGTCCTGGGAAATGGAATCCTCTGGAGGATCAGCCAGGACACAGCTGGATTTCCACAGGAGATGCATGTATGGCATGAGCTAGGCACAAACTGCATTAAACAACAGGCAAGGAGCTCCATAAAACTCAGGAGAAAAGCCAGTCTCAGGTCACCAGCTCCCAGACTTTGCTGACCAGATGGAACTAGATCCAAACCCACAGGGAATCTCAAGCACGGCCCTTAGATGCTCTTTTGCAATTACCAGACCTAAATCTGGATTACTGTCTCAGTGATGATACCCTGGGAAAAGGAGAAGCTTTGCTGGTGCAAACTAAGGTGCATAAACCTTCCACCCTCGGGATTCTACAACTGATTCACTAATTGCTCTAAAATTTAAACATTCAAAAGAGGTCGTGCGGTCTGGTCCTGGCACTTTTCCAGCTCTTAGCTCTCCGTATTGCTGACTCCAGAGGCTTTGAGTTCTTCCTTCAGAAGAAGTTAAGCAGGGTCTAGGTCAATCCACAGGTAGAGCCCAGTCCTGAACTCACAGCAGCCAGAACCCCTGGGCTGGGGGCAGCAGCATCTCCAGGGAAATACACACCTGCTGAAAATTAACTCCTTGTGCCCACGAGCAATTCTTGGGGTTCGGAACATCCTCCCAAAGCAGCTTCTTCATTCTGAAATGTCAGGTAAATGCTGGAGTTGGTACTGTTGTCATAGGGGCTGTACTGTACAGAGAAGGAATCTGTGCAATTTTATTTATCCAGAGCACTACGACCATGAAACATTCATGTTAGATATTATAGGTGGCTGAAATTTAATGCAAACTATAAAGAAATAAAGAAGTGACATACCAGCTGGCAGTTCTGTAAATTATCAAAGGTACAGACAGTCTGTGCTGGATGACCCCAACCCACCAATGCCTGAAGGGGCTTCAAGAGATGTGGAGAGAGACTTTGGACAAGGGTCTGGAGGGACAGGACAAGGGGAATGGCTTCCCACTGCAAGAGGGCAGGGATAGTTGGGATGTTGGGAAGGAATTCTTGGCTGGTGAGGCCCTGGCACAGGTTGCCCAGAGAAGCTGTGGCTGCCCCATCCCTGGAAGTGGCCGAGGCCAGGTCAGACAAGGCTTGGAACAACCTGGGATAGTGGAAGGTGTCTCTGCCCATGGCAGGGGGTGGAACTGGAAGAGCTTTAAGGTCCCTCCCAATCCAAACCAGTCTGGAATTCTGTGAAACCAGTCCAGCAGACTGGGACCAGTGAAGCTGCACCACCTGGGACTTTTCGATGACAACAAAAAACGTACCTTTGGTGTGAAACCAGCAACACTCCCAGCAACAAAACTGAGGCTGAAATAACTATTGGCAGAACCACGGAGAGGCTGCCATTATTCTCATTTTCAAATCCACCTGGAAATAAAGGAGTTCAGATATTAATGCAGAAAAATAATTTGTCTGCAAACAGTTTCCAACAGGGAAATAACACACAGCAGAAACAACTGCTTAAATGGGAAAAAGCCTCAATAAACAGTGTCATTGCAAATCAACAAACCTTTCCCTTGAGAATAAATAGACAAAAATGAAGGAATTATTTTAAATAGGAATTTAGTCTCTCACTGAACTAATTCTACAGAGTTTTCAAATCAAAACTACTGAAGTCTGTTTGTAGTTACATTACAATTGCTTCATTACTAACATTTTTTTCTGGTAAGACAGAGACTTTTGCATTTAAAGGTCACTTTTACAAGCTCCTATTTCATAAAAGACACAGAGAAAGATCCTGTCAGTCACCTTTGCTAAATTGATCCGTTGCTCTGGCTCTGCCAACTCCTCCAGCAAACACAGGGTACAGACTGAACTGGTACTTCTCAATCAGAATAAAGTAATCTGGAAGGAGGAAATCAGCCTTTTGAATCCAAAATATTATCCAACTTTTAGACAATTCCCTCCACAGAGGCTCTGGTCACAGATCAGAGTTCAGATCAACCCAGAGAAGGCAATAAGGAAAATCATCCTTTATAGATCCCTACTTTAATATCACAAGATTAAAACTATTAATCCATCCTGGATAATCCAGCATTATTCTGTCATGGAATTAACACTTTCATGGTGCTACTGTAAAAACTCCTAAGTTTAAAGCCAAAATGCAAATGAAAAGCACATACTAAATTAATTAGTTGCTGTACTCAATATTCCAGAACTAATTTTATTGTATTGCCACAAAGTGAACACACTCCTGAGCCTCACTCTGTTAATCTGATTATTAAAACAGTCAATCCTCTAATGATCATCAAAAATCAGTCTGTTAGTTCTTACCATGAAAGACATTAGAAATAAAGAGGGAGTAAAATAGGGCTCCAAAATCTCAGTAAAATGACATATTATGTGTTATATTTTCAAGTGCACACTCACCATAAATGTAATATTTACTCATATTTGGAGGAACTCGCACCCATTTCGTCTCCTCTTCTTTGTTAAGGTTCTTCCACTCAATAACAAAGGATGTTATCACATAGATTTGGGGTGAGAGAGTCCAGACCACGACGACACAGGTGCTGTTCACGGGGTAAGCGCTCAGCGACCGCACGGCGTCCACTGAGGGAACAGGGGAACAGCCACCATCAGCATCCATTAACTACACAGCACTGCTAAATTTCAGCACTTTAACACTTGCTTCACTATCTCCTACCTGATCTTCAGTTCACATCAGCAGAGATGTTTCTCTCTAAGCTCAGTTTACACCAACCAGTCCCAAAGATTAAACAGATCAAGTTTCTTACAGACATCAAATATCCCGTTTCTCACGTGCAACTACTTATTTATCTTTAACCAAACAATCATCAGCAAATACTGAACTGCCAGGAATAAACACAGCAGAGAGCAGCCAAATCCATGAATTGCTGCTCAGGAAGTCAAGCCAAACCTCTGAGAACTCTGCACCCTGCCAGCCTGTCAGGTGAGCAGCCAGAAACCCAACCACACTTCATTTTGGAAACAACAAAACATTCCCCAGCAGGAATGTTGGGTGTTCCCAAGACAAAGTAGATGAAAAATTAGTTCTACAGTAGGATTTAATTTTTCTTCGTTTAATTACTTTATATGCTGTTAGAAGGGAAGTCAGCCCCATAACAGAGAACTTTTTTCCCAACCCAAAGATCACAAGGATTTTCATACAGTGGAAATTTCAGGTTTCAAATAGTTTTCTTGGTGCTGAATGTATCACCATAAAACATTTCTTATTCTGACAGAGGGAATTTTATTATAAAGAAAGAGCATCACAAGGGTTCCTTGTGATTCCCAAAATGGCTGCTCATCATTGTTCTTACCTTTGCTCATTTGCTGTGAGAGGGTTAAATTAAAATTAACTGAAGAAACTCCAATGGAATTCATGGCTAAAACTGTGATGGTGTGAGTGTGCTCCGTCCATGGAAAAGACCAAGTGGTGCCATGATCAACATATTCCACCCAGGAGGTGTTCCCTGATGTCTGGTGCTTTATGATGTATCGGCTCACGCTGCACAACGAGTGGTTCTTCATCAGTGGCTGTGGCAAACACGGGCATTAAGTCATGTCCCTGGCTCTGATTTCCAAAGCAAATGTTATTTGGGCAGCTACAATTTTAAGAAAATATGACCCAATATATATATATATATATTCTGTAGCCTAGCTCCAGTCCTTCTAGCCAAGGCACTGGAGTCCATATAAAGACTTAATTCCTTCTGTGCCTCTCTGAGAGCTGACACTTATTCCCTCTCTTCCCAGAAGAAGCAAAGACAAACTTTTAGATTCCTACAGTAATTCACTGTTTCACACATTTTTCAGGGTTCAAAACCCAGAGCAGCCAACTGCATACAACATGGGCAAACAGGAGTGAGCAGGCACTGAGGGACTTTTTCCTCTGTCCTGCATCAGCCTTCAAAAGCCAAGAAGGAAAAATCATCTCCAACAACATATCAGTATTACAAGCAGTATTCACCAGGATCATACAACCATTATTCACCAGATTCCAAGTCCCATAAGCAGTGACTGCCTGAGTTTGGCTCACAGGGAAGCATGTGCTTGTCAGACTCCCTTTTTGGCACTTCTTCCCATTGTTTGGAACAAAATAAAAGACTAAAATGTGGCTGCTCTCACCTTCCACACGAGCGTAACGTTCTTCTGCCTCCTTGCTGGATCTTCGGTAACGATTCTCCAAAATTCAGGGCCTTGCAAGGGAGCTGCAAAATGACAGTTTGGAAGAACAGTGTCACTCCTCAGTCTGGAAAACACCAGCACAGATCTCAAAGTGCCCCTGAAAGGACCCAGACCTCTGATGTCCTGCACAAGTGTTTGGGCTGATCCGCTCCAGTCGCTCCAGTAGCCGGCTCCGTCCAGCTCCCTGCACCGCACCTGGACAACGTACTCCACACACAGCTGCTCAACTTCGATCACAGCTGAGCTGCTTGGGGGGTTTGAGACTTCACAGAGCTGTGACACAAAGTTAAAAAAATGTAAAATAGAGCAAAAGGCTGTTTAGGCAGCTCTTGGAGTCAAAACTCCTGAAAATTAATCCAAAGAGAAAGTGGGATAAGCAGTAATATTCCTTTGCTAGATACTGCAAATGCTTATGCCTGTGATTTCTTCCATGCCATACATTCCATAAAAACCAGTTACACACTAAATGACAACACTGCAGTGATTCCTGCTCCAATTCGGACTAGAAAAGACAGTACCTCCCATGGAATCTCTTCCCTGTTCACTGCATACCGGATCTGGAATTTCAGATCACTGTTTGTAAACACAGGGTTTGTCCAGCTCACGTTCAGCAGCCCCACATTCCTGGTGAGTTCTGCTCTGATATTGGAAGGGGGAAGCGGCTTCACTGGAAAATTGGAAGAGAAAAAAATCAACTGTAATATCTGCACTGACATTTCTCATTAAATCCAATCATGATGGATTACTTTTTCCTCATCCTGGGGGTAGCAGGTAACATGTTGTGGCCTCTGCAATTCCAAGGAAAGCAGGACTGTGCTGCAAACACATAATCCATGGGCATGTTTCCTTGTGTTTCATTTTAATTTCAGGCACAACAGGTTATTTTGGTGCTGGCATTTGGTACCTGCCCTGGGACAAACAGCTAAAGATGTTCACATTTGTGTCCAAAAAATATCCATTGAACGCTCTGAGTCACAGAACAGATTTATAAAGTGTGATATGTACATTTTTGAGTTTTTGAAAACACTCAAGCACTGCTCCTGCCTCTTGATTTATACAAATTTAAGTGCTGTGTGTGTCACAAAAGAAAGTTTGCATAGGCATGAATGAGCATGAACAGTCCCCATGATTTTAAATTAATATATAACTGCGTAAATAATACATACTGTGCTCCACTTATCAAAATAAAAACTAATTGAAGACATATTAGGCATGAAAAGTTAGATAAACCAAAAATTACCCAATTAAAATCAAGCTGCCTTTTTCAATATAACATTTGGGTTTTGTGTAGGGAAAATAAACATGCATGAACAGGATATTTAATTTTACAGGTATTAGGTGCAGTTACAATCTGCTCCTGTGCCAAGCAAAATGTATGGAAATAACATGTAATCCAAAGCAATATCAAATTTTTTATGTTCTTTAAGTTATTTTAAATGCTGTGGAAAACTTTAACTACACCATCTAAGAACTGAAACCCAAAGTCAGAGGTGTGCATGAACCTCAACCTACCCACATCTGCTGGAATGACACAGGCTGGGGAGGATTCAAGTGTTCCTAGGAAGTGCTTGAACTCTATCCACAGGGTATATCCAGATAAAAGGAAAATAGGCTGAAATGTGCACTCGTAGGAATGATTCTTCTGCAAATGGCATTCTTTCACCTCTGATTCTGGAGATGGGCTTGGAAAGTCAGAACAATAAATTTGGCTCCTTAAAAGAGAAAAAAACCCACATTCAGTTGATACATTGCAATTCTAAGCTGCTCGTGGCAGCAACAAAATAGAAGTCTGGAGGTAATTAAAACAAATAGTGTCACTGGAACCATCCTGGGGGGTTTGATGATTATTTGGGCAGATCTTGAACTTGAATCTGCACTAAATGGCTAAACAGCACTGCAGTGTCACTCCTCAAAGCTTTGGCTCTTTGCCTGGAAAAAGCAGGACACGAAGGCTCTCCCCGGTGCAAAATGTTTTAATAGAAGACTAATGACAAGAAGAAACAGGTACAGCAAGAGCAGCTCCATAAACTCATCAATCATGTGATTTGAGGTGTTAGCAATAAACACAGCAAGGCAGATCCCCTGCCAAGAATTCATTCCAGTCAGAATGACTTCCAAAATACCAACTGGAAATCAGGGGAAAGCTGCCACACAGACCAATCAGGCATGTACAGTGAGGTCTCCAGGAGATGGAAATCCAATAAAATATCAGTTCTGGAGGCTGCTTTTAAAATAGTGTTATCACATCTGGCAACAGAATAGAGGAGACTGGCTTCTGGATAAAATGGCCCTGGATAACTTGTTGGAAATGGAAAGTTTTCAAATTTCTCCTAAGCTTGTGCACAGCTCAGACTTCTGGTGAGAGGGGCCAGAGAGGGTATTAGTTACTCAACTGAACCACAAGAGTTACACTTGGTTGAATCTCTCCTCTTCCTGTCCTGTTTAATACCGATTAAAGCAGTGCCTTGTGCTTTGGAGGTTTGGTTTGGCATTCCCTGCTCTCCCAGAATGATTCTTTCGGAGCTGTTTCTGTTGGCAGCACTGACTGGAGAGGAAGATGTAGTAACAACCCAAGCAAAACAAAACCCCAGCAGCCAAACTGTCACACACATCACTGCAGGGCTGCATTTCAGCTGCAAAATCTCACAGCAGCAGTAACTCCCAAGATTTCTTTTTTTTATTTTCCACTCTTTCAGATCTTACTATGAGCAAACAACCAAAAAAAAACCAAACAAAAAAGAACAAAAAGAAGGATCACAGTAAGCACCAGCTTTTGGGAAGGATTTGCAGGCAGTGTTAAAGTCACTCTTTGATCTAGCAGGAATACTGACAAATGTACAGATTATCACCTCCTACTAGAAAATAACATTTTTAGCTAAACCTGAACAGTGAAAAGGTGGGAATAAAAAACATGGCAAGAGCAGCATAGGTTTTATTCCAAGCTCCCTGCCCAGCAGTACACTCATTATAGTCATACTTGTGAAGACAGTTTAAACAAAACCTACCTTAGCAGTCAGCCAGTCACTAATCCTGCCTGAAAAGCCTTTACTTGAAATTTCAAGCGTTCCAGTTATTGCTTTAGTCCAGAAAACCCTGAGAAATATTCACCTGGGTACAGGATACTTCAAAACTTCAGTCTACCTCCAACAGAGAAGACAGTCTGTCTTTCCAAAGGATTAGGCCCTCATTAGTTTGCCAAAATTTCTGCATATCCAGTCCAACAGAACAGTAAGATTGGAGATTTTTTTCCTCAGGAAGGGTTGTCTGTCTGTCTGTCTTGTTTATATAAAGAGTAAAGTAGTTCTAGGAAACTCTCAAGCTCAATGTATCAGTAACTCAAAGGGATTCTTTAATTTCATGGTAAAACAATACTACCAGGACCAATATTTGTGCAGATGAATGAAGATAAGGGTGATGGTACCACTGATTTCATAATCAGGTTTGTATTTTGCAAACAATCATGTGTTTGCTCCACACCACATCCCAGTTCTCCTGCTCTGTCTAAAAGACAGACAAAATTAAACTATCTGAAAACCAAACATCTGAAAACTGAGAGCTCCCCCTCTCTGGGAGTGTTCAAGGCCAGGTTGGACAGGGCTTTGGAGCCACCTGATCTAGTGGAAGGTGTCCCTCTGCCCAGGAATGAGACGAGTTTTGAGGTCCCTTCCAACCCAAACCATTCTGGCATTCTAGGATTCTATGAATTGCTGTAGTCAAAGATGCAACATCCCCTTCATGAACTAAGATTTGATTCTCTAAGCAAGATTTTTTCCATCTGGAATTAATTTATTTCATCCTCTATTTTTATCTGTCTGCACGTAGAAAAAAACATAACAGAATTATAGAAAAATCAAAGACTGAATGGAGACCTCAAGAGGCCCCACGTCCTACACCTGACTCAGAGCAGGGTTAAATTCAAAGACAGATGGAGTTGCCCAGGGTCCCATCCAGTCAGGATCTGAGAGTCTCCAGGGACAGAGATTCCCAGGCCATTGCTCCAGTGCTCAGACACTCTGTGAATGGACTTTTTCCTTATTTCTTTACGATTTGTTAATATGAGCAACCAGAACAATTTTTATAACAGACCCAAGCAAACCACTTGAAGAGAGCTGGCTCCCAAAGCTCATCTACAGTTTTGAAGATGCTGAAAACCACAAATAGATGTATGTTACGTACTCAGGTATCCGTGGTTCCCTTCTGCACACACAGTTACACCTTTGGAGTTCCAGCTGGGAAGAAATCCAGGTTACGGAAACTGGAATTTTCTAATTGCATGTATTCAGAATTCTTTCCTGGGATAGTATTTTGAGCAATGCTTTCCTATCATAAAGAGAGAATTAAAAGCTCTACATACCTGTAGTATCTTAACTGCAAGGAACTCCCAGGGAGCAACATGTTTGGGTTTGCAGACCAACTGCAAGTCATTTTAGTCAAGTATCCATCTGTTTCACAGGTGATATTAATATTCATATCTAATTAAAAACACATTGAAAGCTTATTAATAAAGATACAATGGTTTATACAAAAAACAACGCTCAATAAAAGCTCTTGGAGTTCAAATGGAAATATTCTGACCTTACTATTAAAATGCACCAAAAGGAGAATTTAAAATCCAGCTGGAATCTTACCTACTACATATAATTCAGCGTATCTAGGATGACATTCCCTACTTTGGTGACAACAGTACAATGTGTCATAGAAGAAACTTCCTCTAGGTTTGGTTGCTTTCAAGTTGAAAAGAGTAACTTTGCTTACGCGATCGCTCACAAGGGTATAAAGACTGGCTGGGATTTCTTCTGCTAAATTCAGCCACCAAACAACCTCCTGGGGCTCTACAATCTTGCTTTTGTTTTTATAGATGCAGTGAAATGAAACATTAGAACCAGCACTGGTCAGGATCTGAGGAGGGAAGTACAGGACTTCAGCTGCACAAAAGGGAAGAGAGGGGAAAAAAGCTGTTGAGATCAGAAACTGAACAAAAAGAAAACATAGAAAATAGCAATTACAATTATTATTATCATCACCATTATTATTATCATTATCATCATCATCCAGTTGTATTTCTAGCTTCTTAATCACTGTTAGCAACTACAATGCAGAGGAGCAGAAATTATCCTTGGACTGTCTCTCTCCATAACTCATGTTTGTAAATTCTGATAAAAATAAACTTTACTATCCCCGGGCAAACATGAATGAAATGAGCAGAAAATCACTGGAGGGTACAGTGGAAGCAACACACAGCAGCACAAAGGAAACATAAGAAAATTAATCAATCTTCCCAGGAGCTGCTGCTCCTGTTCCTACTGAAGTCAGCAGATTAAAGTCTCAAAAAGTTGTTTTACAATCTCAGCAGTGTAATTAACACCAAATGGTGGCAGTGGTACAAAAATTCACTCAGGCATACAGCCACTGCATTTCCCAAGGATGTAAAGATGCACAAGCTGAGCCTCCATCAGTCAGCGACTCAGGGGAGGTACAGGTGTTGAACACCTGCTGGAATGGAGCAGTTTGCCAAAGATCATCCCAAAGCCAGCATGAAAATCCTTAAAAGGTCAGGTTTACTTTCAGCAGAGGAACCACTTCAGAGATTTACAGAATTTCCCCAAAATACAGGCCTGCTCAGAGAGCAGAGCACATTTAGGATACTGTCACTGTCAAGGCTTTTCATGTTAAATATATATCAGAACATGAGGCTCATCAGTTTTACAAAACCAGAACTCCCTGCATGAAGAAGTTAACCCCTCTCTGCTGCCATCAGGTTGTCACACTGGGATTATTCTGCTGATGAGGTGTATTTTTAATACAATTACATATCCCATAAATGGAATTAATAAAAAATAATCTAACAGTAACTACTGCACCTCTTTTAAATCTGTATTTCTCAATACACCCATAAACCTTCTCTGAAAATATCAGTACATACATATGTGAGAGAAAATGTGTAATTCACCCCTAAAAAATTCTCAAAGTTATGTAGTTCTATACATAGACACACTTTTTTTAATTAATTTATATATCTATATATAGATGTATAGATGTAAAGCCAAAACATTAAGGGCCAGTTAGGCCTCTAGACCTATAATCAGGCATCCTGTGCATCATGTTTATTTGCCATGAGGGTGTGTGCATTTTCAGTTTTCCTGGGAAAAAGCTCCATTTCCAAAGTCTAGTTCTTTCCTCAGTACTTGGTTTAAGCACACACATGACATGTTTAGCCACAGTAAGAGGTGTCCATGTAAGGGCTCAGGCAGAGCATTAGTTCTGGCATGGAATGGGTCAGAGGATTCCTGGGACAGCACAGACCAAACCATCTCCAGTTAATCCTAAGCAAAGCATGGAAAAATCCAACAAAAAAAACCCAGAAAGGCGGTTTGTGCCCAGCATTACACACCTAAGGGGGTGTTAAATGTACTCTGAACTGTGTTCTGGGTGTCCAGTTCAGCTACAAAGTGAGAGAAAGCATTAGAAGAAAAATCTTGTACTGAGCAGAGGTTCAGCACTGCCAACTGTCTTTTGAAATGGAAAAACTCTTGGAAAAAGCTTTTCCTGGGTCTGAAGAGCTGCTGGGTGAGCAAGGCTCAGACATGGAGGTGTCTGCACATGCACTGCCACTGCAGTCTGCACATGTTATCCAGAACTTCTAATGCAGGTCTGGCACAGAGAAAAGAGCTGAGCCTCAGGTAAAGCCAGGCACGAAGAGAAGCAGAAGGGGAAAGGGCTGCCACAGGATTTTTCAGCCCATAATGCCCTCAAATACTCATTCCACAAACCAAATAAACTGGGACAACTGTTCTGTTCCAAAAGACTACTCACTGCACCTGACCTACCTCCCAAACTGAGATCATAGGGTGTGCTCCAGTCACTCCAGAACCCAAGACCCTGGTGATTCCTGCACCTCACTTGAACCAAGGAAGAGGAATCAAGTAGGGTGTTGTCAATGGCCAGTGAGGCTTCCAGAGCAACTTGAACCATCTGTTGGATCATCACCAGCCATTATTGTTGTATAATGAAACAGGAAAAGAGAAAGACACAGAGGGAACCAAAATAATTAGTCAAGAGAGTAGTTTTTAGGTAGCAAATTGGGTAAAAAAGCTTTCTTCTTTAAATTTACTGTGAATTTGATTCTGGTAGAAGCTGCATAACTCTGTGGAAAACAAGTTACTTCATTACAGATTGCTAATTAATGGCTGCTTTTTATTCCAGAGCCAGTTGTGTAGTAGAAAAAGTAACTCACTAATAAAATCTACAAATATTAAACATACACACATGCATCATAGAATTTGGGGATTGCTGAAAGAAAAAGGCTTTGCCTTTAGACTTCACAGAATCTAGGATTTCATGCAAACAGAAAGATGGGAGTTTGTAAGACCCAACAGGAAATGGGCCTTTCATCCCTGTGTAATGGCTTTTTACAGATGTGAAGTGCAGCTTTCCCAGCTCAGGGAAAGGCAGCCTGCCATGCCCAGCTCCACCAGACCTGCCATGTTCCTCAACCCACCAGAGCCTCTACCCAAAGACAAGGAGGGTTGTGAGGAATCCTGGGCTGGGGAAGAGCCCCCTGGCCTGCACTGCTTCATGGGAAAACCCTGGGAAATCCAAGAGCACGGAGCTGCCTCACCTGCCAAGTGCTGTGCCCTGGCCTTGCAGAGATCCTCACTTGGTACTGCAGAGGGTATGGCAGCAGTGCAGGGTCAGACCAGCACATCTTCACCTCACCTCCCTCTGTCATTTCCAGGTGCAGGTTCAAAGGAGGTTCAGGCTTTACTGCAGACAAATTCATTGATAAGTTCAGCTCCAACCTCGCTGTCTGTGACTGTTGGGTTTTACTGAGCCACAACTCTCTCACCTTCTCTTTAAACTCAGTTCTCAAGAGCTGCTCTACAGCTGCTGTGTGACACTGATGTTGTGCAGTATCACTGGAAAAGTGTGCCCTGGCACTGTTATATAGTTGGTGATCACAAAGTGCTGTTTCACCTCCTGTTTGCCTTAAATCTACATGAATTCCTTGCCTTGGGCCATGACTTTTCCCAAGCACTGACTTACCTGCCTGGCTGAAAAGAGGGGATGGGTAAGAGAGGGATGGGAGAGCTGAGCAGATCAATTTGCTCCTTAGAAGACAGGAGATAACCTCCTCATACAAAGACTTTCTAAATATTCCCATCCTTCCACAGTGATTCTGGCTCTGAAAGAAGGTCTCCAGTAGAGCTGCCTTAGGGCAAAGTAAAAATGGAGGGTTTGGGAATTTCCCACAAGGATGAAGAGGACTCTCTGGAGAGGGGAATGGATGGGCACTTGAGAATGAGCACTAGGATTGCAGTCACACTTCCTCAGACAAAGCCAAGGACCCCAGGCCCTACTTCCATCTGTTTCTCAGACCTTTACAGATCAGCAGCCTTTTGGTTGGCCTTGTCCTCATTCACAGAGTTTCTCTGTTACAAAACACTGCAGGGTGAGCAGCACGTGCAAAACTGAAGAGAAAACACTCCCCAAACATTCCCATTGGGCAGTGGGGATGTGTTCCCTTCCAGTTCCATCTGCACTGAGTCTCCAGCTCTCCAAATTGTCTCATCTAAGCAGTATCACTGGAATCTCACTCAGTTATACCAACAACCTCGTTATTTTCAGTATAAATTCACTCCACTAAGTCAGATCTTATTTAGTTATTACTTATAAACCATCTTAAAGCAATTAAATTCATGAAGCCCAGAAGGGAGTGATTTGGGAGGAGGCAGAGCTTTGAAAACCAAAGTCAGAGGCTTTTACATCACACTCTCATGAATCAGATCACACTTTCTGAACACAGACAATGATGTCTGTTCTGCTGACGCCACCTGCTCTACTATAAGCAAATAAAATCCACATTACACAAGCATTCAGAGTTTTACATTCAAAATAATTTTAATTGAGCTAAATCTTGGCAGAACATATACTAATATTATGCATTTTTAAAACACACTTCACTAAGCAGAACTAAGTAATTATGTCATTTTAAATACTGGCAGACTCGAGTTTGAATTTTTAATTTTTTCCTGTAGCATAATTTAAAAGCAGCAGGATGAAAAATGCAACCTCTCCTCTTCAAAACCAGCTTACCCAGAGACTTTGTACTGATTCTGTCTGCAAAGCACATCAGTTAGGAAGAAGCTATAAAACTCATAAGTTTTTAAATTAATAAGAAGTTTAGAAAACTTCAATTCCACACACACACAGAGCTGACAGACTCCTTGCCTTTATGGAATTCACACAAATCTGCAGTAACTGGGCATATTGGACAGCAACACATATAAAATTCATAACGTCAGTATAGTTTAACTTGATCAAACACAGAGGAATGTTTTCCAGCTTGGACAATGCTGGTGTTGAATGTGTAAGGAGGGGAAGCAGCAGGATGACAGAGCTGGTTGGGAAGAGAGGTGGGTTTATTTGTTAAGTAACTTTTGGAGCAGCTTTCTTCTCCCCTCAGTTTTTAAGTCCTCAGCCACACGGACAGAAAAGCTCTGTCAGAGCCCCACAATGAGACACAGAGAGGCTCCGATTAGAAGGGAAAGAATTAGAAATAACAAGTCCATTGACTGCCTGGCCTCCGCTCACTTTGGTTTGTACTGGAGCCCAGACAGGCATTAGGAGCTGAGAAATCCCAGGAAGCCTTTTCCTGTCCTGTCTGTGCCCTCCTTTTCCAGGAGAGACATCCTGCTGCTGTTGCCCATTAAAAAAAATTGAAAATATAGGTCATACTCACCTATGTCAATGGGCTTGACTGACAACAAAGGTGACCACAGAGGTGTCACACCAACCAGCATCTTCAGCCACATGATGTAGGTGTGGTTGAGCCTCAGAGAGGGCACAAGACACTCACATGTGTCACCCTCAGTGCAGTCACACTGAGCAACCCTCACAGTCCCCTGGAGAGAGCTGGTGGACACATCTCCCAGGGACAGCTCCGAGCTACAGAGGGGAAAACGAAACCATGAACCAAAACAAACCATACACCAAAACAAAGCACTATTTTTTCTATATCTCAGGAGGTCTGTCCATCTGGATAAGGTTTATTTACAAAAAATAATATTAATTGATGAAAAAAGTAAACATTGTAACTAATGGTTTTGACTTTGCTGCTTCTCCCTTTCCAAATGGTTTCCAAGTAAAACAGTTAGCAAGATTTCATTAAAAGTGTTCCTAAGGCTTGGCTTTAAAACAAATGTGTTACAACACTAGATGATACCTGTATTTTACTCAGACCAGCTCCTGACTCTTGAAGGTCTCATTCCTAGATCCTTCTTAAGCACATAAAGTTAGTTTACCTTCCAGTGGACTAATTGTCAGCTCCCTGCACCCTCCCCCTCGAGATTATGTTCTAATTTCTCTTCAGGAGGCACTGAAATAATATTGAAACAATTTCATATTCCTTCCAGCTTCTGCTACAATGAAACATTACAAGTAATGATATCATCATGGAACAGACTGGGTGGGGAGGGACCTCAAAGCCCATCCAGTCCCACCCCCTGCCATGAGCAGGGACACCTTCCACTGTCCCAGGTTGCTCCAACCTGGCCTTGGCCACTTCCAGGGATGGGGCAGCCACAGCTTCTCTGGGCAACCTGTGCCAGGGCCTCACCTCCCTCACAGCCAGGAATTCCTTCCCAATATCCCATCTAAACCTACTCTCCTTGGAACCAGCAGTTCCCAAAGTATTCTTTATTCTCATTTCTAATCCATAGATATTCTTCAGGCTCTTCCCAACACAGCTCCATGTTTATGGAGTCCTGCAGGTATTCAGTGGCACAGGCCTCTCTAAGGTAGGGAATTTAGAGTGTGAATAGTTTGTGGCCAAACTTCTCATAGCAGCAAAGCCAAGACAAATCCTGACAGTTAAACCACCTTGGATTCTTTCCTGGTTTTGACTTTTCATCCTTAAAAAAAAAAAAAAAAAAAAGCTGCTGTTTTGAACTGTTCCAAAGTAATTTTTGGAATAATTTCTGTGCAGTAAGGGTTTTGTTTCACTAATTCACAGAAAGAAATTGAAGTTCAGAGAAAAGAACCTTTCTGTACATTTTTTAAATAGTTTTATAGCTGGCATGACTCATTGGAACACTTGAATTCAAGGAGGGCAGAGAACTAAAAGAAAGGACAAGATTTTCTGTGCTTTTTTTGGTTTTAGTCAATTTGCTGTCTAATACTTTTATTTGAGTGTAGAGCACAGGGGACTGGGCATGATTCACTGCTTCTGTTACCATCCCCTGCCCTACTTAAAGAGGAAAAGGTCAAAACCAGAAGAATTATGGATTATGGGAAGAGAACTTTTAAAGCACAGGCTGGGACTGCAGGAACCCCACTGGGGTCAGTCCTGGCTCATCTTGAGTCAGGGCCTCATCCCCTCATCCTGCACTGATCAACACACACAGTGCATCCCCCTCGGGATGAGGATATTCTGAGGCTGGAAGGAAGGATTTGTAGCCCCACTCTGCCCTCCTAGCACTGTGCTCTGCAGGAACCACCCCACAAGCTCTGCAAGTTCCTGTGAAGATGCAGTTCACGTTTATTAACGCTCCAGCCAGCCAATACTGACATTCCTAAAATCATTTTCACCAGGGCTCACAGGCTTTAGGACACAAGAATTATGCTGATGGTATCTGGCAGACACACAGCTTTTAAATTACTTGGAATTACTTTGTTTTTGTAGTTGTGGCTCCATTTTTTTCTCCTGAGTTCTCTTTCAAAGACTTTGCAGAATTTTCTTTTAAGTTTCCCTGCTTTCTACTGTTTCTCACTGATTTTATTAGTCTCAAAAAAAGCCACAATCGATCCATAAGAATGTAGTCTTTTCATCAGACCATGTCTTTGGTCTGACCTATTTGGAAACTGGTTACCACCACCCCACCCCCTAATCTTTCTAATCATTATTTCAGTTTTTAACCATCAAAATGAACTTATTGCACCCAAAAAATGGTGTACAGGAGGAAAAGTGGTAAAGAGTTTTTCTCCTTATTATGCCAGTGTCAGTGCTACTGACTCATCAACCCTCACAAGTTCAGGAGAGGTCAGTGCCCTCACATAGTAGAACGAGAGGAGAAATTTGGGGCAGACTTCAAACAAGTCAAAGGCAGCATGACTTTCAGCTGGAAACAATGGGACTAAAGCATAAGAAGAAGGAAAACAATGAAATACTGCATGCCCTGAGCCATAGAAATAATTAATACTGCCCAAGGTTTGCTTTTCTCCTCCACTCCAAACCCTATCACAGATTTAGTCACCACCTTAACACCTCCTAAATATTTTATATTTTGGTGCACTATTCAACTCTATTTCAGAAGGTGATGTTACTTATGCTACATTAATCTGTGGCCCTGTGGTGACCTTTGAAACTTTAAATGTCTTGACTGAATTTCAACCACATTCTTGCAATTGGAAAAACGAACTGAAAATAAAAAGTCAAAATTATTTTAGGAAGAAATACGTGAACTTCTACAGCCCCTCTAATTTCAGGAAAGGTACATCCCATGCAGGTAGCTATGAAATAAAGGTACTACTGTAATTCTGCTCTCAGTGTATCTATATACTGTGTTTGTACAAGCACCACCTTTATTAGGAATCAGTGGAGCTGTCCAGGGTTCAAGGATTTTCCATAAAACTATTCCAGTGCATTTGATACATAACAGCTCTAGAAGAATCCTTCATTGAGAAAGCTGCTCTGTCAAACTGGAGAGCATCTGATGGCTGCTGAGCTCATGGGAGGATAAATCTCTGATGAAAGGCTGATATCCTCTGGCTGAAGAAGGCTCGATGTATGACTGATGAACTCAACTAAGACACCAGTCTTGAGGCAAACTGGATGGCTTATCCTTCAAAAATATGGGAGTCAAGTCTCAGAACTAAAGGAGAGCCCCACAGGTGCTTCAAATAAGTCAGAAATATGAACGTGCTTTATGCACCACCATCTGCTGAAAGGGCAAGTGATAATCAGTGCTCCAAACGAAGTTGGGAACATTCATCTGTGTCACCCCAAAGGGATCCCTAAGGCTAAGGCATTTCAGCTCATGGAATTAACCACTGGGGTTTACAACATTCCTAGGAAGATCAGTCATTTTTCATAGACAACTAATCTTAATTATCTAATTTGGAATAATCTTTTCTCTCCCAAAGCCAAACCAAGGGGAAGGTGAAGCTGCATCATCACCTTTGCTTGAGCCTCTCCCAGAACATGGCACTGGTTTGGGCAGAACAAAACATTTCTATTCCAATGATACCGTTTACAGGTGGAAAACTGCTGATGTGTAAAATAAGAGGATATTTCTTTAATGCTGAAAAAGATAAAAGCTGGGAAGGACCCAAGCTTTTTTGTTGTGGATTCTTCTAGGTCATTATTTTTGTGCATTGCCTGTCCTGTATGTGAGAATTCTGGCTTGGTCTCCTGACTCCCAGGGAGAAACACATGCCAGGAATGCATATTTTTAAAACTGGGCATATTTTCAAAGTATTTTGGCTCATGTGAATAAAATGTTAAGGTATCAGCAAGCCAACAGGGAAAGCTGTCACCTTACCAAAGTCTGAAATGCTTTCCCTAACTGCTCCCCCAGCACGCAGGGACCCCAAAGGAAAAATGTAAATACAGATTCTGGGGGAGTGAAACAAGTTCTTCAATGTCAGGGACAGCTCTGTATCTCACCTTTGCAGCAAAGAGGAATCAAACAGAGGAAGGCCAGGAGGACTCTGGTGAGTCCTTAGGGCCTGCTCTCCTAAATTACATGGCACTTACTGAATTCCCTTCATAACACAAAGAACCTCTTCATCCCAGCTGAGACTCCAATCTGTTGTTCCATGGATGTTTGGCATACCAAAAAAATTCACTACAGAGATTAGTGCCCTGGGAGCACTGGCAAAGATCATCCTATTGCAGTTGGGACTGGATGGCAAAGTCAGATTTACTCCCATAAACACCCGTGTAATGGTATTTCAGAAATCAAAGTAATGAAGAACCCACTCAATCCAAACCTGATTTCAGCTTTAGAGTATTCTGTCAGCTAACCAACCATATTTATTCCTAGTTAATACATTTGCTTTCTACCCTGACTACAGAAATGATTTGTAGCAAGGCACTGTTTTGTTACGTTAAAAGACATCAGCTGTAAATTCAACTAAATCATCTATTTAAGTTTATCCTGCTTCCTAAAGAAATTAACTGCCTGTGTTTATGCCATTCCTTCCAAGCCATCAGTAAGTCAAAAAAAGCAGCGTGGTTTCATGGAATCACACAGATCTCTTTATAACCAAATTAGGCAGTTCATACACATAAGACCTGCCCACCCCACAGCCAGGGTGATTCCATCTATCACCATTCCAGGGAATAGTTACCACAGTGACAGCTGCTCAGGTGAGTGTCTCTCAGAGGCACTATTGGGATTAGAGTAGCATTTGGCACTGCATTACGTGTCAAGCACCATAATTACTTCAAGAGAGACAATACTATGGTCAAAAGCAAATAAAAGGCAGAACCAAGAGGGCAGCCTTAAAACTAAGCAAAGAAACTTTAACAAATCAATATCGATTTCACTGAAGGATTTTAAGAAACACAGAAGACACAAAGGAGGAGGACTCTTGATTCCAACCACTTCTCATTAAAGAAACCCAAATTTTCCATATTGTCCAAGATTACTTTTAGACAAGACAAAGGTACATAACATAATCTGCTTGCTAAACTCAGGCTACCACTGTGCTGCAACCTGGAATGCTGATATTTTAGAAAATGCTTTCAGATTTCCAATGTCAATAGTGCTAAATTTAACAGAGTCTGTACTTACCCAGCATATAAAAGATTAACCTTCAAGTCCTCTCTCAAGTGCAACCTCAAAACCCGCAGGTTACAAACCAACAGGTCCAGCTTGCCTTTAATCCAACATTCCATGTTCCAGTTTGAATCTAAACAAAAGAAAGGGATTACCCATTCCTGACCTATATTAAAACAAAATAAAACCACAACTGAAGAGCCAGGATACAATTCACTCACAACGAGAGGACAAGTGACAGATATTCATGAAGGTGAGGATGCACCACAAATGTGCAAACGTTTATGAATAATCTGTATTGAATTAGGTGCCCTTAAACACTTGCAAGGCTCCCAGTCTGTGGTACTGCAGCACTGGTATTATTAAAGAAGGAATGTTTTTTACCTGGCTTTATGGACAAGGCTGCAGGGTGGAGAAAAAAGAAGCTGCTGCTTCTGCTGGTGGCTGTGTTGCTGTTGTGAAGGGGGACAGCTCTCTGTGGCTGTGCTGTGGGTTTGTGCACATGCAACTGCAACACGTGTGACAGACTTCAACAGAGAGTCTTTTGTTCCGTGGGGAAGTTCTTGGAAAATGAAATTCTACTCTACCGAGCTCAGTGAGATTCCTGCAGGCCAGTATGTTCCTCAGAGACTGAGGTTTACAGGAGGAGAAAAAAACAGCCTTGGAAAAAATAATTCTAATCCATGTACAGATATTTACTAAAGCATCACAATTCATGTAGAAATTATGCCATTTGCTCTCCATCTTCCCCACCTCCTAAAGGAGATTAAAGCCCACATCCATAAAAAAATATATAAAATATTTCTCATAGTGTGTAAACTCCTTTGAAGTTCTGGGCTTACATCCTCATATACAGTGCTTCATATTTTATTCAGAACTCTGCTAGAAAGGCAGCTAACTTTTTTTCCCCTTTGAAACTGTGCTCTACAATTTCCTTCATCTTCCACCACAGACCTCTGTGAGGAAGGATTTTACCACACTGTGTTGTGTGCCCAGGATAAAAGTGAATCCCCACTAATACAACCCAGCCCTCTCCTCCCAAACAGCAAAAAACCCCAACCTTCTTTTGAAGAAGTAACTTCTTCTGCCCTTGAATGCTAAACCCACCTATTTCCTGAGAAGCAGAGATATTTATTTCTGAAGGAATAAACTTCCTTGCCTGCAGGCTCGCTCTGTACAAAGAGCAGTCAATGTTGTTGTCACTCCAAAGGCAACACAGAAAACTTTCTTCATTCATTAGAGGTTTGATTTCAGATGTCCCATGATGGTCTCTCCTCAAACCAGACCAACTCTCAACTCCAGCAGAGAATGGGCTCAAAAATGTCTCATTCAGCAGCACACAGGGTAATGTAAAGTTCCTGGGAGGAACTGGATGGACCACACAATGGGCAACTGCCATTTGAAGAGAGTCTGCAAATATAAAGGCAAACATATTGGAAATAAACAAAAAAGTCTATCTTGTCAGATAGAGAGCGGTTGGTGTTATACAGAAACACATAACATGAAAATCAGGCTGTTTTCAGGGGCTATTCTATGAGTTGCTGACACAATTACTAAAAATATGCCCTCTGAACTGGTGCCACAGCTGACAGATGTCAGCCTTTCCTCCCAAACTCACTACACCTAACCTTTGGATTTCTCGGCCTCCTGAAATAAGGCCAAGATTGTAGATTAAGAACTTCTTTGGGTTAAAATGCCTTATATTAATCCAAAACACAGTGAATCCTAAACCCAAGTTCACACACTCTACAGGTATGAGTCTCATCTCCCCTGCAGTGCTGGAACACATTCACTCCAGCTCTTAGAACACAGCTCCATTTCTGTAGGAAAAAAATAATCCTGTTGTAAATATAAGACACTGTAAATATAATCACACTGTAACTGTCAAATACCAAAGGACAGTGTTACAAGAATGTATGACTGGGTGCATTATCTGGGAAATGAGATGCAGAGAAAGAACAATTTTTTCCGTCAGATCCTTCAAAATGAAATTGCTCTGACCACATTTGCAGCTCTTGTTGGTAAGTCAGAACTTGAATTCCACTCCCGAGGATTTTGAGAATGATGAGAGTGTGGGTTTTGGAGACAGCTTACTGTAAAACACTGTGATTTCAAAGATTAAACCCTAGTTACAGAAAGGCATGTGGGTCATTTGTGCACTTTGCACTTAGCTGTTTGCTCAGTAAGGGCATAAATATTTTAAGCAGTTCATTAGATAGAAATTAATTGATGCTCTATGCTTGCAAGGGCCAAAATAAGAAAAAAAATGTAATTTCTCCAGCACTGTTTGATTAATAGCACAGAAACATGAGCTAAATAATAGAAAAGTACAAAAGTTTTTCAAAAAGGTAGGTGCAGTGTGTTATTATGCAGAGTGTTAAAGTGTTTAGTTTTCTCTCTCCACAGATTTTGTGTTGCCACCCTCCTGGAGGCTCCTGCTCTTTCCTTCTCTCCCAGTTCAGAGTTTGTGCCCCTGTAAACAGCAGCTTCAACAGGCCTCCTGGCTGCCTGGGGAGGATGCACTTGAGCAAACAGAGCCTTAGTCCCTAATACATGATTAAAAAAGGACAAACAAGTGACATGAAGCAGGACAGACAACCAATGCACCACCCAATTCACAGCCCGTCAGCTCCTCTTCTAAGGAACAACTTCCCCCCACATATCACACCCCAAGGGATTAATTAAATCTTATCAAGTCAAAATGTGTGCAGCTCTGTCTCACTTCTTCAGAAATGTAAGAAATAACGTTAAAATGACCCAGAGGAAGCCCAGAACAGCAGCATATCATATATAGCAAGATAAAAAAGATGTGTATGTATTAAAAAAGGTATATAGAAAAGATACAGAAATCTAATGATTTATTCATCTTTTATAAAGACATAAGATGACACAAATTTTGAGATTAACTTCACTGGATTAGAGTTTGCTTTCTCCCTAAGCATCATCATCAAAAGTCTTTAATAGTTCTTATTTTAATAAAAAAATGAAAGGCAAATACCAGCTGTTCCTGAACAGCATCTGCCAATATTGTTACAGACATTTCCCAGTTAGGAAACCAGTTTATTAAATCCAACATTTGCAGTCAGTTGAGCACCCTTTAACAGCCCAGTGCCCATGGAAGCAGGAATATCAGACTCCTAAAAAGCTCAGACTCAGAGTGACACCTTGGTTACACTGAGAAACTTTGCAGCTCTGGTGGATAAGGGATCTTTCCTTACGCTTTTGGACCTATTTGGGTAACTAAACAAATCACCCACAAATTTCTATCTTATCAAATTCTGACTGGGGCATTTATTTGAATGTCTTGACTTACCACATACTTTCTACTGATGTTTCCTGAGCTTAAAAGTCAGCTCACTGTTTTGGGGTAAGAGGCACAGGCACAACCCTGGGAGGGTCAACATTTCAATTCCACACAATGACAACATCAAGTTCTTTGTATATTCTAGATGCATGCTGTGATAAGATACTAATCCAGAAGCATGACTTGAGACACTACTTTGAAACAGAAATGTGATTACTCTTTATTCTACACAACTTCCAACAGACTGGTTTTTTTAGTAACTTACCCAACAGCACAAGCATGGTCAGAACGATTTGCCAATACATCTTCTTTTGTAGAGCTGATCTGAAAAACATACAGAAATTTAACTGAGAGCTGACAATTATCAGTCTATTATTTCATTAGGGTTTCATTTTGGTGCACTTCATTTCATTTGATACTCACACCTTTGTAAACACAATCATAGAATCCCAGGGTTTGGGTTGGAAGGGACCTTGAAGATCATCTTGTTCCACCCTGTGCTATGGGCAGGGACACCTTCCACTGGACCAGGGAAAGGAAGAACAGGCCAGAAAGGAAAAACAAAATCAGAATGTCATTTGAGGAAAAAAGCTTTGCTTAGAATACCAATTAAACACAAATACAACTCTTTCATCATTAGGGCCCTCACTCCTCCAGGCTTTTGCTGATCACTGTTCACCTTCTGGGTTTGGTCTGAAAGGCACCACAAACCCAAACAACCAAAATGTCCCAGGGATACCCAATTTTCCAAGTGCAGCATAAAGAAAAGCACTTGGGCACCCATTTCAACAGTGAAGACTTCACTAAATTTTACAGTACTATTTCAATATTGTTCTTTCATTTCAGGCACTTTGTCCTTTTTTATTTTCATTCCATAGTTATACAAATTCTGTTCAAATCTAAATATAAGCATTTTTATGCTTAAAACTCCATAAAGGATATCAGAATAAAACAGAGTTTGGCTGGTGTTGTATTTAACCAGAACTGAGTGATGAGTAAAACCTACAGCTCAACTCAGACAGCAAATGCCAGGGCAAGAAATCATACTGAGGGAATCCCTCCAAAGTATTCCATTCCTTAAATATTTCTGAGAACCGTTTCCTTGAGAACATCAATGTAGCCAAAAGAGTCAGTGCCAGGGTTATGTAATCCACCTGCCTTCCAGTTTGGGGCTGCATGTACTGTTGTATATTATCTGTATATATGCAGACAACTGACCAGTGAAGTGACAATATTCCAGAATTCTTGTCTCCCCACAAGAAAACCCCTTGCAAATTCAGCTGGAGCCAGAGCTGAGCCATTTCTCCAGCACAGACCATCTGCACTGTGGTCTGCAAGATGATTCAGTCCCATTCACTTTCTTCCCACTCACCAGGTTACAATCAGGATACATTTAAGCTACATTTTCAGCAATTAAAGAGGACAGCTCAAATTTTCCCAGCCCCTACTTGAGAGAACAATTTGCCTCAGCACGGTTGTCAGATGGACCTGTACCTCTTCCATTAGCCTATTCCTAACAGGAGAGCCATGAAGGCCAGAGGAACGACCTGGCTCCAATCTGCTGTCAAATCTGTCATTTCACAAAGATACAGGCAGAGACTATTTCCAAAAGGCTGTAATTGAAGTTACTCAGATTTTCTCCAAATTTCTGAGAGAAGAGAAAAAAACCCTCTAAAACCAGTTTACTTGACAGCAGTGTACATTATTTATACTATTAAATGGTTTAATGAGAAACGGTCCATATCCCTCTTTTACAGGTGCAACAAAAATTCCCTGTTTGTAGCTCAGCCACTTCTCAGCAGGAAACTGGCACAAATCACTTCCATATGTTGTACAAGAAGATTGGATATACATTTCAGAAACTTATAAAATTATCCATAGGCCATGGATGTTATAGTTTCCTCCATGCAATACCTACACACACTGAAAATAAAACAACTACAGGTGCCCAGAACCCCCTACACCTTAAAGAGGGAAAATGATAACTATATGTAGTCTACTGAAGATAAAGGCTTTGTCACTTCCTGCTAGAAATGAAAAAGACTCAGGAAGAATTCCTTCCTGGAAAGAGTGTTCAGGCATTGGAAGGGGCTGCCCAGGGAGGTGGTGGAGTCCTTATCCCTGGAGGTGTCAAAGGAACAACTGGATGTGGCACTCAGTGCTCTGGGCTGGGTGACAAGGTGGGGATCAGGCACAGGCTGGACTCGACGATCTTGGGAGGGCTTTTCCAGCCTCAAGGAATCTGCCATAAAAATGACCAGACAGAACAATCAAAGAGATTCTGATGTCAGCACTAGTTCAGTCATAATGAACAATATTTGGACCAGGAGGTAAAAATAAAGTTCAGACCAGCTTGGACATCTTCTCTTCCTACTTCTGTCACATTGATTTTTACAAAGGAGTTATTTTCCAATCCTGGCTCCAGCAACATCCATGAACCAGTGCTGTACATGATCAAAAAGCTGCACGTCCCCAGCATTTTTCTGTTCAGAGTTCAATCTTCCTTATGTAAACTCTATAGGGGAATTGAGTAAAAAGAGATATCTACAGATAAATCCCAGGGCAGGATAAATGTACTACTGGACCACAGAGGGATTCTCAAAATCTTTTCCAGTGACAATATTGAACTGGCCAAAATTTCTAATTTCACCATAAGAAAGAATACAACTGTTACCAGAACAGTTACAGGGAACAGGGAGCTAAATAAGGAGATTTATTAAAACTTGTAACTATCACTTTATCCCAGAGAGTGTAAGTTAACACAGCAAGGATAAACCATTTTATGTATAACTGGGAAAGTGTCCATAAAAAGGAAGGAATCAGAGTCCGTTTTAACACATGTATCTTAAAAGACTGTGTTCCAGAACCACTGACTTTGCTGTTGTGTATAAGAAATTTTTCCATTTCTTATGTAAATAGTGTGTTTTTCTCCCTGCCAATCACTGTGCAAAACACTTCAGCAAGTAGAGTCCCCGATTTGACAAAAACACTGGATTAAAACCAAAACACAGCCAAGGAGGACAGCAATGAAATAAGATCATTTTTCTTTACAGTTCAAGTGAGAAGTCACAGAATCCACTGGCATTTCAACATGGGAAACATTTTCAGCACAGCCTGAAACAAGCAGGACCCACAAACACCCACACTGGGCACAGAAAATATACTGAAAGTTTTCCTTTTCCTTCTGGAGCTGTTTTTTCTTCAGTTTCTTGTCTCAACAACTCACATTTCTGCACATCTCCTTTCTGAACCTCAGGAAGAGGGGTTGAGGTGAGGAGGGGATTGCAGAACGAGGCAGGTCTACCTGTCCAGGTTGAACAGAGGGTGGCACTGGTGGATCCCTACAACCCATCCCAGACACAGCGGAGCAGCACAACCCCAACACCGACAAACTCAGCTGTAAAATCCTCACCAACTTTCACAGAGGCACAGAGATCACATGAGAAGTGTTGCAATGAGCCAATGATGAATTTCAAAGCTTACAGAAACGTATAGAAACCTAATTTCCAGGATCTCCTATTTTTCCCCAACTAATGTAACCTACACACACGGGGTCTAGAGCTCTCTTTTTCTCATTCCCACTCTCTCAAAAACCAACAGCTGCCTGTTAATGGGAAACAGGAACATAATACTGCAGTCATACAAACTTTTTACAAGCACTGCACCACAGCTGTTTTTAAATATTTCAAAAATCTCTATAAAGCATAAAAACATTTTAGTAATAATGTCTATGCACAGCATCTTCTGACCTGCTTTTTAAGGGTGCTGAGGGCTTCCCAGTCCTGTTGATTTGGGCAAGACACTCCTGGGCATGGAATTTCATTGCATTTGTTTGCCATTGAGTACATTAGATATCATTATTAATAAAGAGTTTGGAGTAAGTGGAATTTACAAAGCAGAAATATGTATGACTTACACTGAAAAATTTTGCTTTCTAATACTAAAACTTTAACCAAGGCAACCCGAGCTGGGCAAAAGCACAGCTACAAAATCAGGCTCCAAGTCTGCTGGTGGAGCCCTCCCCTGAGACTTAACAGTAAAATGTCCCAAACTCTAAAGAGTTTCTCCAGATTGTACAGTTTCCCTTGTTTGTACCGAAAATACCCCCTCATCCACAGATACTCACGCTGCTCACAGGCAGCTTCCCATCACCAGCCCAAGATCCAGCAGCATTTTCTCCTTCATCTTCACTCCACAGCGCTGAAGTTTGGGCACAGTCTCAACATGCAATCTGAGAGACTTGAGTTTCATAAATACTCCTGATTTTATGCCAGCAATAGAGAAAAGCATTTTTAATAAAAACTCTCCCTTGTGGTTTTTCACATGTATCTGTCTTTTCTTATGTGCTGCTGGAAGCAGAGCTCCTGTGCTTACCTGGCACTTAGGGGTTATACCACGTTACAGCCACGCTTGGTAGCCAAGGGCTCTCATTATAAACGCTGTTTATAAATGCTGTATCACTAATTAAGTTTCCAAAGTGCTCTTCTATCAGAGCGGGCTATCACAGCTCCAGCAGCATCAGGAATTCACAGCCTACGTTCACTGAGATTTATTTTTCTTTTGCTTCAGAATTGAATCTCGGGGAATATACGGAGGGGAAGGGCCGGTTTGGGTACGCCGTGCCTGCCTCTAAAATCTCCTGGATTCTGCCAGGGGAAGGCAACGCTCCCCCTCCGGCTGCGGTCAGGGGTAACCTCAGGGGGGTGTTTGGAGAAATCAGAGGGGGGAAAAAAGGAGAAGAAAAGTAAATTCACCTACCTGCTCCTCTTCGCTCCCAGAGTCCCGACCGACAGCCGAAGTGACACCGCCGCCGCTCCGCTGTCCAGCCCCGGCCCCTCAGCCTGCCCCGGCCCCGCTCCCTCAGCCGCCCCGCCCCGCCCCGCTCCCTCTCACGGCTCCTCACACTCAGCTGAGGGAGCTGGGGGGGCTCAGCCTGGAGAAAAGGAGGCGCAGGGGGAACCTTCTCGCTCTCCACAACTCCCTGACAGGAGGGTGGAGCCAGGTGGGGGTCGGGCTCTGCTCCCAGGGAACAAGGGACAGGATGAGAGGGAACGGCCTCCAGCTGTGCCAGGGGAGGGTCAGGTTGGGTATCGCGAAAATTGCTGCCCAGGGCAGCGGTGGAGTCCCCGTCCCTGGAGGGATTCAAAAGCCGTGTGGATGTGGCACTTGGGCACATGGGTCAGTGATGGCCTTGGCAGTGCTGGGGGAATGGCTGGACTTGGTTTGGGGGCACTTTTTCGATTTAAACCCTTCTGTGACTCCCTGAACACGTGTCCCCTGCAGGGCACAGCCCGAGCCCCTCCCAGGGCAGGGACAGGGCAGTGTTTACCCCCGTTTATTTTAATTTCTTACAAACAGCACTTCACTGAACAAAATAAAGTTCAAGCCTTCAAAGAGCTGCCAAGCAGTGACGTGGGACATGCATTTTGGCCCTTCTGTACTTCAGTGTTTGTCCTGATGAACAAAGGGCTGATACATGTAAAGCAACACCAAGTATTTAACAGGAACTTGCAATTATAAAACAACACACGAAAGTTATTTCAGGGAACTTAAAGTCGAGGACTGAGCCCTGCTAGAAAAGACAGACTCAATGATCTTGGAGGTCTTTCCTAACCTTAATGATTCAATGCACCTTTAATCTTCCTTGTGCTCATCCTTTTGGAAAAGACAACAAGAGTTTAGAACCAGCAAAGCAGAGACTGATTAAGCCACAGATGGGTGCAACTGATGGGGTTTTTTACCATTTTTTTTTTCCAGCAATATTATTTTTTAAAAATTGCAAAACCAGTATCTCTGCTTCATGAGGTATGAAGAAAAATATTTATATTTACCTACTGCAAGCTCTTCTCAAGCAACAAGACTGGAATTATTTTTTGAATAGCGTAAACAGTTCTTTCAAGGCTGTAGGAACAAAACCACTGATTGGCTTTAATTTATTTATTGACTTTCCGTAATTCATGATCCATTTCCTCAAAACAGCATCAGCCAATTTCATTCCTTATTAAAATGACCACCAGCTCTTAATTGTTAAATTCTATTTTTAAAACATATTCGTGTTCTAATACCTCAGTTTGGGAAATGTGACCACATACAACTTGTGCCTGAGGTTAGGAAACCACTGAAGTTTTTGTGTCCCAGACTTTCACAGCATAAACAAAAGCTGTCAAAATCCACCACTAGAAAGCCCCTTTTTATTTAGGTTAGAACATTTTCAGATAAACATGTCACAGAGCAAGTTTTCTTTCACTTCCCCATGTACCACTGGTGTTCGGTGAACCAGAAAAAAAAACCCCTACACAACCTCCACTAATGCATATTTATTTATTTTTAAAGGGTTTTCTCCTCCCTTAATATCTAAACTAAATCTTCCTGAAGTTTAATCCTCTTACCTTTCATAGACATAAGAAGACAGGTAATTCCTCTTTTCTTACATTGTTGTCTCATATCAATCATCCTTTGTGCAAACTTAAGTTCCAGTTCTTTCTGATCTTCATAGATCATCTTTTCTGGAGACCTACTAAGGCTGATCTTCTCACTCTTCTACAACTCTCTGACAGGAGGGTGGAGCCAGGTGGGGGTGTAAGTGTATTCATTTAATAAAGATAATCTACCTTTCTAATTTAGAGCAGGATTAGTTCCTCCCCAGTATTCAGAAGTTCTCTATGGACTCGTTTCATTAAAGAAAAAAAGGTTTAAGTGTTGCTTTGGCTGGAGAAACTCTTCAGAGCATGCACCTTTACCTTCCAAGACAGAATCACTTCTTGTTAGGTGTCCAAACCTTGTTGACAGGGATTCACTCACCTTGGAGGCACAAAGGAATGAATTCCATCATTTAACAGCAGAGGTGCTGCAGCAAAACAGGGATATCAAAACATTGACTCATTTTCTGTCATCATCAGGAGAGATCTTTGAACAAGGTGTAATATGAGATCTCCTTTTTCTGTCCTTGGGGTTAAATTTAATATTAATGAAAAACCTGCCTCATATTGTAGAACTGTATTAACCTTAAACCCTTTCTCCAGTGAACTTCCTGGTTTAGATACTTTCCCAATTTGCTATGAGGGGATGCTCCCTCTCCCAAAAAGCATGCAGGGATCACAGAATTGTGGAGTGGTTTGGGTGGGAAGAACCTTAAAGCCCATCTCGTTCCATCCCTTGCCATGGGCAGGGACACCTTCCACTATCCCAGATTGCTCCAAGCCCTGTCCAACCTGGCCTTGGACACTCCCAGGGATGGGGTAGCCATAGCTTCTCTGGGCAACCTGTGCCAGGGCCTCCCCACCCTCACAGCCAAATTCTTTCCCAATATCTCATCTAAACCTACTCTCTTTCAGTGTGAAGCCAATCCCCCTCATCCTGTCACTCCAGGCCCTTGTCAAAACTATTCATCTTTTAAGTAACCAACGCAAGTTTTTGCCACAGCAAGCCCAGGGAAGTTTTCCAAATGGAAAGGATGAGCAGAAAAAGCATAAAACCTTGATATTCATAAGATATGACTCTTCATTTATGCAGATCTGTAATTACTTTATAATCAAAGCATAATTTGAGAAGGCAGAACTGCCACCCCAGGGAACAGCACTGGGCTGGGAGCTCCACAGCAGCTGCTCATGGAGTGGGAGGAAGGAAGAAAGGGAGGAAAAGTTAGTGGCACTAAACACCCTTGGCTTTCCAAGTGTTCCAAGGAACACCTCTCTCCTGTTCAGCTGCACCAGTGGAATAGGCAGAAGGAAAATCTAATATTTTGTAACCTATTCCTAATTTTTTTTACAGTTAGATAGCTCCAGCTGTTAGAAACAAGCTGTGAAAGGAGGCAGAAGGGAATGATCTACAGAAAATTAATTACAAGGGATTTTCATCCCTTTTTAAGCCTTCCTGTGGCTGCAGGAGAGGTCCCAGGTAATTAGTGCTGTCACCATTAGTGAGGCCCATTTCCCAAGGGCCGAAGTGCAATTTGGCAAGAAGAAGATGCTGAGTGCATTCAAGGGGGAAATTGCAGCAAAAATACAAGTTGGGCAAAAAAAAGTGGTCCTTCAACAAGCAGGCTCTGTAGTTAAACTTCCATTTTGACATATCTATTTACTGGGCTTTTAAATAAAAACACCAGTTACTATAGTAACATTTACATCAGAGGTTGTACTTCTGCCGCCTCTGAGGTACAGAAAACCAATCTGCTCTGTTCACCTTTGTACTTCACTCCTGCAATATTTTAAATGACATCCCTGTTTTCTAATGAACTTTTTTTTCCCTAAGTATTTTCCTCCTCAGCTTAGAAAATAAAGCACATTTGATCTAGTTTGCTTTTAAATGACTAAGCCCTGTGCGTGGGAACATGACTCCTGGTTCCAGGGAGAACAAGAAGAGTGGATGCAAAAAAGAACACTGCAGTATGGGGAATTCTCCCCATCCCTGGAAGTGTCCAAGGCCAGGCTGGATGGGGCTTGGAGCAACCAGGTCTAGTGGAAGGTGTCCCTGCCCATGGCAAGGGGTGGAAAATTAAGGTTCCTTCCAAGCCAAACCATTCCACGAGTCTACAAAATAAGACAAATTTTGCTTTTCTAGTCCTGCTGTAACTTAGTTTTCTCTTGTAGCAATCATGGTAAAATGACAGATTATTTTTACTTCCTTAGACAAACAGTCCCCTCCACACCTTTTATTTTAGCCTGTTAGAATGGCAAAGCATCAGAGCCCATTCCAAGCTCTCCTCTGCTGCCCTTTCAATTTTTTTCCAGTCCTTTATCAGTAGATTTGTTATCAAGTGCTTCTGTATCTCTGCTTTATTTCCACCCCTTTGTTTACTTTACGAACCCTACAGCGAGTACACAAAACAGAGCTCCTAAGGCTCCTGAGCTTGCAGAGCCCTGGTTTAGTGCTGGAAGACCTACCACGCTCCCCATGAGGTTTTCATGGTTAAACTCTGTTCTTACTCTAAGGCAGGCAGGTATTTACACAGCAACACATGACCCTCTTGGGCAGATGAGGAAATGAAAACACCCAGGGTTCTCAATTCCACTAAACTGAGATCATGCCTGGACCTCACAGGAATTACAGCTGGAAAATACAGGGAGCAGAGGATAACAAAGAGTGAAGGTAATTCAGACACCTCTCTGAATTGCTTTTGTTGACTTGCTTTTTCTTTCTATTTTTCCACCTGATTAACACACATTTGTATCAGATTGTACTGAAAACCTTCACGGAGGGACTGTGGCACAGCCCAAATGCTGCTGGTCATGTAAAGTTATTCTTTGCTGATGTCATAACCATGAGAAAGCCAGGATTTGCTTTTAATTCCAAAGAAAGGCATTGTTTAGTCTGTTATCCCCACAGTCCCTACCAGGATGAGAGCACCACTCAGACACATCTCAGTGAGAAGAAAGTAAACACCACTACTTTTTCCCCAAAGGGGGTGGTGGTGGAAATCTATTTCCAGAAGCACTTTCTAAAACCTGGCACCAATCTGAGTTTCTCAAGTGTGTCATCGAGCCCAGAAGAGACGAATTCACAGAACAGAACTGGCAAGAGAGATAAATGGGGGAGAAAACGAGAAGGTATTTTGAATAAATGCCTTCAAGAAAAAAAAAAGAAAAAAGCTAGGCCTTTTAGCAACTTAAATGTTTCTAAACCTGGCAGAAGTTCAGCTTGTGACATTCACGCACTCAGAGAAAAAAATACCCAATAAAATGGTGTAATTCAAACTTTTGTGCTTTTGGCTATGGAAACGGGATTTTACTTCAAGGGTTTATGTATCAGTGATGAGTTTCAGCCAACACAAAACAGAAACTGCAGATACTTCATGCCCACAAGA